TGGTCTTCTAGGAAGTGATGGAGTGCCAACAAACGAAAAAGGGTTTGAGCCCGCCGAACAGTAACCTTCGTTGAGTTTCCCCTCAACTCAGTTACCGTACGGCGGGGCATATTGTTAACGGCTGGAATGTTAGCCGTATCTTATATATGTGTGTGTGCACTCAGATACAAAATTATTTAACGCACATTAGGGTGGTGCAGCATAATTAGGTATGGGCCTAAACATGCCGCCCCGCTTGCGATAAGTAAACTATGAAAACCGGAATACGGAAGGTACCCACCATGTCACGTCAGAAAAGATAATAAGTTTGAAGTTCCTAGATAGCTATTGGAAGATTAAAGAGAGTTAACAGAAAAAAAATGGACGTGGTTTTGATTTTCAATGCACTTTATTGTGTGTATTAATCAACTAAGCATTCTAATTTGTTTTTATTTTTGGTAAGCCCCGGAAACCACTAACCCAAATATGGTTGCCTGCGCCAATAAGCCACCGCCCGAAGATGGGGGGGGGTCCCTGTCAGCATGACCTGGGCGTATACATCGACGCCTAAAGTCAGACGGATCGGCGTAGCCCGGTAAAAATTTGGATCGGCCAACCGCATAAACTGAAATGGCGCGGCAGCCGCGGGGTCGATGTCCGTTGCCGGGCTCAATCGGTTGTGTTGTGCCATGATTGTCGCCTGAGATGTTACGCGTTCCGCGACACCGTATTTTCCTCTAAGNCCAACCGCATAAACTGAAATGGCGTGGCAGCCACGGGGTCGATGTCCGTTGCCGGGCTCAATCGGTTGTGTTGTGCCATGATTGTCGCCTGAGATGTTACGCGTTCCGCGACACCGTATTTTCCTCTAAGAACTAGCAAGCATCTCCGGTTTCGTCCAGAACCTCCGTGTTCCAATTGTAGGTCCCGCGCTAGACTAGCGTCGATTAAAGTGCTGGGCGCGCAGGGGTCACTTATTGCGCGGACCAGGTGGAGGCGGCCACCAGACTCGATTCGAACGATGGCGGTCGGTGCAATCGGCTGAAAAGAGCGTACGATCGGTGTAGCCATAGTACTGTTGCTTATGCGACCTGTCCGAAACCCCAGTCGTCGCACGGCCAGAGCCGCATTCTGCTCTCGGTTCTGCTCTTGTGGTCGGCGATATGGTGCTTTCCCAACAGTCTTCCGTCGAGACAAGCGGAAAGGACCAGTTTCCGCGCCATCACGACTCTTACCGTTGGGATATGGGGGCGGTCGGAAAGAACTAGTTCCCGAGCCACCCGCATGCTGTGATTGGGACTGGGCAGGCTGTCTGAAGGACCCAGTTGCAGAGCTGCTCTCCCTTCGTTTCTCATGTTCGAGTGGTGGTCGGAAAGAACGGGTTTCCGAGCCGCCACTTACTTCTACTGGAGTGCCCTCAGTCGTAGCTTCGTCCATCTCTGCCTCCTCGACCTGCTGAGCCCATGACTTATAAGGCTCTTCTATGTGGATGGATAAGGCACCCAGGGCACTGTTGTCATCATCCTCTATATTGCGTGCTGGCTGCCTCCAATTATCGTTGGTCTCGATATGGAGCGAAGTATGATGCTTCTCACGGCACCTGTGACATCTGTCGGCGCTAGCACAATTTTCCAGACGGTGGAATGGCGAGAGGCAGTTCGGGCAGTAGCGGTGTATGAGGATCGCTCGCAGTCGTTCTTCTGCCGTCTTACCACGGTAGATGGGGCAAAGTCTTATGCCGTGGTCTTTGTCGCACAAGCTACAGGCGATTGGAAACTCCTCCGAGCTCCTCTCAGTTTTAGAGCGCAGGGCTTAGAATCGGGTCATTCTGCAATTTGTAATATTTGGTTGACCAAAATTCTGTTTTGCTTTGAATTTATTATGGTTGGGTGGCAAGTGGTGGGTATTCATGCATTTGCTATCATACATATGTATAGAAATTTCATTAAAAATTCCCTATGAAGTGCCTGGTGTGGCCGTAGCATTACTGTACTGCTATTCAGAATTTTTCTAGGTGGCGCTCGTGATATTGAGCGACGTCCCAGTGTTATATTTACGCGCTGGTGCCTTTGGATTTTAAGGCGGTCGTGCGCAAGAAAAAAAAAAATAGATGAGAATATATATGTATATGTATGGGGAGGCATGAATATTATCTTATTTCGTGAGTTACCATTTCTAATTCTTTATTTGTTTTATATCGATGCATAAACTTAATAATTTTAAAACTTCATAATTCATTCGGGGCTAATTCAATGCCACGCAGTGTATAATTAATTTGAAGCTAATTCAATGCCACGCAGTGTATACTGACAGAATAAATGGCCAATATTTTAGGAAATGGGTGAAAACATTATTGTGGAGTTTTGTTATTAAGCACCATAGCCTCCTACCCACAAGAAAAAAATTCCCATTATTTTTCATAATGGTGCGAAACTTGACTAAACCGATTCATAAAGAATTCAGTGTTGCCACAACTATTTTAATTTTTTTTTTAATTTTTACCAAATCTCANAATTCCCATTATTTTTCATAATGGTGCGAAACTTGACTAAACCGATTCATAAAGAATTCAGTGTTGCCACAACTATTTAATTTTTTTTTTAATTTTTACCAAATCTCAAAAAAAATTACCAAACTTTTATAACATTTGTATATATATATATAACATTCGTATAACTTAGATAATTATTTTGGCAGCGACGGAACTAACACTACGCCTTGAATTGTGGCCAGCTTAGATCTATTCATATTTTTTGAGTGATATATCAGTTCTTCCTCTTCTTCTATGGTAAACTCATAAAATTCATGATGCCGCTGCCGCGTTCAAAAAATTCATATCACCATCAACAGAGCGTTTGGATTAGAGATGGGCACGGGCCTAAATTTTCAGGCCCGGCCCGGCACGAGTGCAAAATCAACTTTCAAAAACACGCACATGCCCGCACGTTAAGAATTTTATTGGGGCTTGGCCCGGCCCGGCCCGGCACGACGGGACACGCCCCAGCCCGGAAATAAAAAGCCAACTTTTATTGTATGTACATATACATATGTAAATATTTTTAATTTTGTGTTTATGTCCATATGTATATTTACTTAAGCGAATCAATATTTTACATCAAAGATTTTTATAATATATTTTCTGGGAAGTAGAAAAAGTGGAAGGTATTTTATGTACAGATATGTATGTAAACAAAACTACTAAGTATCATATATTTTTTGCTTTTCTCTTATCAAGAGAGTTTTAAATATATACAATTTTTTTTTTTGTATAAAAACAAAAGCTCATCTAAGTTTTTAGTATTAGCAACGGCCTTTTTCGTGCCTTTTCGTGCTTTTATGAAACTTTACTGAACGCCCAGGCCCGCACGAGTTCGTGCTGACAACAAATTTTCCGGCCCGTACCCGCGGGCTTACGCAGGGGCCCGTCGGGCCCCTGTCAAATGCCCGGCCCGTGCCCATCTCTAGTTTGGATAATGAAGATGAACAATTTACTTCAACAACTTTCAAAAAAATTTTTTTTTTTTTTTTAGTGTAGACACATACATATTTTTGTAAGTACAAAAGCAATTTTTTGGTTTTGTACAATTGTAAGAAGCTTCAAAAAAAAGGGTTTTTTACTTGTTGACGAAAAAGGCGCTTTTTGATAACCAAACTCACTACAATCACCTGGCAACACTGTACAGCATGCAACACAAAATACATTTTTTTTTCGCAGTTTATTATTAAGTTGTGCACCTGACAACCAGATGGTGCTGCTTGCCATATTCTTATGAAGGCTCGCATTTCGCCCAATCACGTATGTCAAACTTTGAGCTTATACCGTATGTCAAAGTTTAACACAGCAATAACTTCCTGAATGACTGAAAATTTCATTCTGGATTTGGCACGTGGTAAGTTTGTAGTGATTATTAAATTAGTAGTGTTATTCAATTCATTCATTTCATTTTCAGATACCANAACTTCCTGAATGACTGAAAATTTCATTCTGGATTTGGCACGTGGTAAGTTTGTAGTGATTATTAAATTAGTAGTGTTATTCAATTCATTCATTTCATTTTCAGATACCAAGAAAATACCAAGAATTGGGAACGGCCTCTGCGCAGCATTCGTTTTTCATGATTTCGACAATTTCGTTGTTTCAATGTTTTTCTGAAAGCGATAAGTGTTTTTATAGAATAATAACAACGGCAAGTGTTATGGACAATTTCAATTAAAAGACTGTTTTATATATGCATCGAAAATATATTTAGATCCCTAAAATCTGATAGCAGATAGCATCTATAGATTGTGATTGCCTCCGCGACATAGCAAAAAATGTCTTCCTCGTTGTCCATGGTAGAGGCACTTTTGCAAGAATTCCACCAACCAGCCACGCCTAATATACGAAAACGTGAAATTGAAACAGAACTTATTGCCTTCAGAGGACAACCAAGCGCTTGGCAAATCAGTCTACAGGTGGCTGCTTCTATTGAAACAAACCAATATCTCTGGTTTTTCAGTACATTAACTCTAGAGCATTGGATTTCACGTCGGTGGTCACATTTGACTGCTAGCGAGAGAACTTTACTGCGTGAAACATTATGGAATACATATGCAAGTTTATCAGTGGCAAATGTGCCTCGCCGACAACGTGATACATTCGCACAATTAATTGCGCTCATAGGAAAACGGGAGTTCCCCGACGATCATCCTAACTATGTAATTCACTGTTTAGAATTAATCCGATCGGAAAAGTTCGTGCTCGGTATCACTCTGCTGCGCATCACTTCAGAAGAGGTAGTCGACAATCGCGACTGCGTAACAACGGAGCGTCAAAACTATTTTCACTCACACTCTGGAAGCAATATCCCCGCATCACTCTCTAGCAGCTTCATCCATCACCACCAATCCGTTATTGCTGTTGGGCGATACACCAATGTTAGTACGCCCTGTGCCCAGCATTGTGGCAAAACCCATATCTGAGTCGGCGGCTGAAAGCGCGTCCGTGGGGCTTCGGTTCTATTATTAAGTATACGAATTACACTAAATGTTTGCTTTGGTATGAATGATGAATCCTGATGTAAAACCAAATGCAATTCATGCCCAAAAGCGGTCATTATATGTGACCTGGTCTACGGAAAGGGGGCTTAGGTGTCAAAAAATCAATTTTCACTTTTTGGTTGATTCGGATGGAAGATGAGATGCTTTTTCACGTGGTGAAAAGCAGAAAATCCTAACTTGCTTAGAAGTGTACTAAAAATGTAGAGAAAGAAGAGTAAAAATACGACAAAATATAATTTATTGGTAATGAACAAAATACATTGAATTATAAGCTATAAAGACATGATTATACACTAGAAAAACGTATTATGGGCCAAAAATAATAATGCTGAGTAGTTTATGTATTTTTCTTTGTTGTCGTTTTCCTTGAGATCTTTTTACGTGTTGATCCTGAGGAAGATGGACCTGGTTCCTCATCTGGTTTGAGAACATCTTCACTAGTTTTTGCCTTCCGTTTCTTCATCATCCTTTTCATGGAAATATTGTCCGTATACGGCACTGAACTCCTCATCAACACTCATGTTTCATTTCATGCGAAATGCGAAGACGATAATCAACAGAAACAGTAAACGTCACTTCTTCAGTGTTACTTTTTTAAATGTTCCACACTAGCAACTTACAGGATGAACTATAATAATATTCCGACCAACAACAACACTTACTGGACCAACAACAACACTTATTGGACGTCCGGTGCGGAGAACAATTAACGAGATAATGAGAAACTGACGAAACGAGTTGCTTACTTTTAACAGCTTTTTCACAGAAAACTAGTTTTCGCACATAAGCTCCCTTTTCGTAGACCAGGTCACATATATTGGGGATGTGGATCCCATATTTGACTAGATTTACTACGAAATGTGCCAGTTTCATCGAAGGCGGAATATAAATCTTTCGGTTCACTAATATTATTGCGATTCGACTCATAGAGCATATCATCTTCGCTTAATGTGGAATTATGCACCTTTCGTGGCGTAACAAAGGCACTGGTGAAATCATCGGGAATGCTATTATTGATGTCGCCAATATCATCTTTGATATCCTCTTCTTCGATGCTGTTAGTACGCCCTGTGCCCATCTTTGGTGCTTTGTTTTTAGTTTGAAGACACCAAATCTGTAAATCTTAACCAAAGGTTTGTTCGACAAGCTACTCGAAGTCACTTCGTGTTACACATACGCGTTCCACCAGTACCTTTTTGAGTTTCTTTGATATACGCTGACAGTTTGAACTTTGCTCCCGTTTTTCTACAAGTAGCTTGTGGAACAAACCTAAAAATGGGTCAAAAGTTATAGCAATCGTAAGTTTTGTAAGAAACTTCCCAGAAATCAAAACAAAATTGTGCCACAATAGGTGCGTTCGATAAGTCAAAAATTTGTAATAGTTTTGTCCAGTAAAAACTGGATGGCGTTCGATAACGACAAAAAATTATCCAACACACAAAAATTGAGAGAGCAAGCGTTCATTTTGATGCAAGAGAAGCGTCCATTTTGTACTGGCAAAATTTTAGTCAGCAAAAATTATCCAACACGAAAACATATGATCACAAAACATATGGTTGCAATTTTTGTAAACAAACAAAATTGCATTTTCTGAGTTTTGGTATTTATATGCTTTTTGGCTGCCTGCTATGTGACTTTATGATAGCGCCAACTAGTTTTTACTTCTAGAAATGTTCCTGGCGAACATTGAACGTTCACTTTCCTTTTTTCTTCTATGGAGGCAACATGAATTTTAGTTTGTTTACAAATAAAACATAAACAAAGTCAGCAGTCCGGTTTTTGCAAGTAATGGCTAATTTCCTGTTCGTTTCCTTTTTTGCTTTTTCATCTCTTTGGGAGAGAATTTTCGCTTACTCTCTTGATTTTGATTGTTGGCTGGTGTTGGCTAATTTTGTTATCGAACGCAACTAATGACAATCATAATTGAGTGAGCATATGTTTACCAACAATATAGAGAATAATTACATAACCGGGTGGGATTTGATTTGAAGAGTAGACAGGTTAACGTCGGTTGAATGAAAATATTTGAACTTATAGAAAACAGAATAAATTCGAACGTCGAGCAAAACGCATTGATTTTTATTAATTTGAATCCCTACCATACAATTTTTCATGCATACGAGGTAGATGGCTGCATGAGTTCATTCAAAACGGCATATAAAATATTCATATAAAAAAACCAATGAATGAGTTTACCTAAAAAAAAATTTTTTTTTTTGAGTTTGAGTGAATACTGTTATGGGTGTCGTCCATGATTCAATAATAGAGAGGTTTTGTAATAAAACAGTCTTCTCGCTCCCACACATAAAATCGGCTCCTTTACTTGTGCAGAATGTTGCTTACTCTATAGTTTCTAGTGATATTAGTAGTAAAACCAAAAATTCTTCATACTAAATATTCGTTGGCGTAACCTTCGTTTGCGTAATTTTCTAGGCCAAGTGTAGAATAGCGACCGTTTAGCTATAAAATAACCAAAAATGCCGATTGATAGAACTTTTTTCGCTGATTCCAACGATACCAAATTTATTTGGCGCAGGTAAAAAAAAGAAGATATAAGAGGTTTATTTGTATTTTTTATTATCACTAAATTGTTGAAACCCAAAAGTAGATCATGATAAAATATGTAATATCGAATTAAAGATAATAACTTGTACTTTCTAAATAATATAAAATTCTTTACCATTAATTATGCAGTTTTTTCAAAAAAGGTTATTTCATGAAAAAATAATATTTGTTCGTTTTTTAGTGGTTTTGGTTTAAAAATACAAACAGCTATAAATTATGTACATCAGCTGAAGAACAAATTAATTACCTTTATGGTGACGTCATTAGCTTTTTAATCGGTTATAAAGTTCATAAGGTATTAATATTTAAAGTATCTAAAAACTGCACTTTAACCTTCTAGAACTTCTTCATTTTTTACTTGCGCCAAATCATTTTGGCATGGTTGAAATGAGCATAAAAAGTTCTATTGATCCGCATTTTCGTTTTTGCATAGCTGAACGTTCGGCGTTCTAGATTTGTTCCCGGAAATGACGAATAACTTAAACCAAAATGCATATTTTTATGTATTGTTTAGTATTTCCATAAAAACACCAAATGTTTTGCAAATTCGCATAGAATTAATAATACACATTTTACTTCTAATTGTATACTTTGCGTACTTTTTGTACCATTCTACTACCGTTTTCGCAAAATGCGATCACATTCTTCGCCTTTCTCCAACTTCCAAAATACAAATCTAGATAAAGGAGTGTCAAATTTTAGCTGTCACAAATTACACAACCTTGTATTATTGAATCATGGGTGTCGTCATAACTATATTCAAACGATGTGAAGATAAATTGAATTGAAATAAATGACAAATTTTGTTTATGAATATCCAAAAATATTTGTTTTATTTACATTTGTACAAACGTACATATGTATGTATGTATGTAATTGCTGCGTTCCTATTAAAATACGAAAAACTTGTTTGTAGCAAAAACTCATGGTGGAATAATAACAAGGTGTTGTCAGTAGCAACGTGTTTGTTGTGATTTTGACAAGATCGGCATGCTTATTTTCAGTGCTGCCGATCTCAATTTTTATACTACTATTCGTTGGGAAATAGTATCTAAAATACTCCATTTTAGTAATTCGTTTTATCGCGATTTTTAAAGAACTTGGTGTTTTCAGAACAATATTAATATTTAAAATTGCTGGATTTGTATAATTTTTGTCCTCAAAAAGTAGAAAAATAAAAGATATCGTGGTTATCAATGGAAAAAAACGTACACAAAAATCGTATGGAAAGGCGCTCTTTTATATTAAATAACTTTTGCTGCATTGTCATAATATTGAGCCAAATGAACTACTGATACACTAGAATAGAGTGGCTGCATGGTTAAATTAGGAATTCGCTTATATTATCGATATTTATGTGTTTTAATCTATTTAGAAAATCATTTACAGTCTTATAGGAAATTGCCTTATTTTACGGCTTTTATTTTTTTAAAGTTACAATATATGTCCAAGCTGTGTGGAGCTGCCGATACAAACATATATTCAGGCTTATAAGCCTGTAATTATACATTTTTCTACATTTAATTTGAAATAGTATGCACCAACGGATTAAAGGTAGTAAATAATTAATACCTTTTCTAGTACTTTAAAATGCGTGACCGGAATAGACCTGCCGAGAAAGTCAGGTTAAGTTACTGACAACACCTTGTTATTATTACACCATGGCAAAAACTATAAACAAAATGAGTTTGAATGGTCTTCATTCATTCATTCACATGCTTCCATTTGAAGGCAGAAAGTTTAAAACAAAATGAATATTCATAAATAAAAAAATTCAAAACGCTGAGTGTTTTGTATACAAAAGAGAGAATTCAATACAAATTTCTCTAACAATTAATTTACGCGGAGGACCAAAATGGAATTCGAATTTATTATCACAATAGCTTATCCGTTTTTTTTTGAATGATTTGCTAGTCTTATTTGTCTAAANTGCTTCCATTTGAAGGCAGAAAGTTTAAAACAAAATGAATATTCATAAATTAAAAAATTCAAAACGCTGAGTGTTTTGTATACAAAAGAGAGAATTCAATACAAATTTCTCTAACAATTAATTTACGCTTAGGACCAAAATGGAATTCGAATTTATTATCACAATAGCTTATCCGTTTTTTTTTGAATGATTTGCTAGTCTTATTTGTCTAATGTTACTGAAATTTTTTTTTATTCGGATCAAGAGCGTTAACGCATATTCTTCTCTGGTAAAGGCTACGCAAAATGCAGCTCATAATGGGATATGGTATTCAGGTATTAAGATTAGGATTTTTTAATGCGGGGAACGGGGTTCATCTTAACCTTAAGTGTTCCGAATCTCGACTCCCTAGTTGCAGGGCGGGAGTAGGACCAACTTTGCGATTGGTCTTGTAGTTTGGCCCTTTGCCGTATCAACGTCAACTACACGTATTCGGTTGTCTGGACCAGGGTGTAGTTTGGCTATTCTTCCAAGTCTCCATTCATTGGGTGGGAGGTTTTCTTCTAGGTCCCTTTGTTTCAAATTTGGNTTGGTCTTGTAGTTTGGCCCTTTGCCGTATCAACGTCAACTACACGTATTCGGTTGTCTGGACCAGGGTGTAGTTTGGCTATTCTTCCAAGTCTCCATTCATTGGGTGGGAGGTTTTCTTCTAGGTCCCCTTGTTTCAAATTTGGTTGTGGATGTTTCCACTTGACGCGTTTCTGCATCTCGGTCAGTTACTCCGATTTCCATCTTCTGCAGAAAGTTTGGTGCAATGCTTTCAATTTATCCCCACGGTTTACGATAGAGGCCCGAGTCTCGTTTACGTTGATTTCTGGTGGGGCAAGTAGATGCCCACCAACAAGGAAGTGTCCTGGGGTAAGCGGCTCCAAGTTTGCTGGTTCGTTGGATGATGGACTAAGTGGTCGCGAGTTGAGACAAGACTCAACCCGGCATAGAAGAGTACTAAACTCTTCAAAAGTGAATTTGTGGTCCGACGCGACCTTTTTGAAGTGGTTCTTAAAACTTTTAACGCCTGCTTCCCACAGTCCACCCATGTGAGGGGCTGCTGTGGGTATAAAAT